GCATGACCCTTTCTAGAAATGCTGGAAAAATAAATTACTCTTTCACTTGTTATTGTAAAATTAATTTATTTGAAATTTAAGTGTTTTTTTTTAACTATTTCCTTTTGATATTTCTTTTGGAATGCATTTACTTATTTATGTGTATATTTATTTATCATTTTTTTAAAAATAAATGTGGATTAAGCATGTTGGTTGTCAACTATTTGAGATGAGAGGATTTGATAGTTTTGTGATATAGAGACTTTGGAATTGAAAATTTATTTGAAATTAAGGTAACTTGTTTTGCATGGAGTAGTTGTACAATCCTACCTCGGGGGTTTCTAATGGTAATTGTTTGAGTTGGGAATCATTTTAGATTATTGAATGGTAAACCGTGTTAGACCATTGAACGGTTCATTATTTATTTATTTATTTTGTCACAATAGACTATTGAACAACAAACCATATTGGATTACCTACTAGTTGATATTCATGTGCCTCAGTCATGTGGAATTGAGAAATTGTTTTGCTGATGAGTCTCTTTGTATTTGTTTCATCCAATATAATTTTATTACTTATTTATCACTTTAATTGAGATAATTATGCTTGGTTGTACTAGTTGGGTATGCTACTTATTGGGCATATAGAGCTCACATTGTTTTATTCAATGTTTTCAGATACTAAACATGGAGCATCTGGGATGCAGGGAAATAGAGAGCCACCTTAGAAATAGATTATTTACTTCTTTCCTATTATGTTTAGCATTTTGTGGACCTTTGAAATAAAAAGATTTTATTTTAGTGCTAGTTACACCTAAGATTCTTGGTTTAGAATTGGCTTTAGATGATGGATTATTATTATTATTAATTTTACTATTAATTTTCTTAAAAGTGAAGAGTGAATTTTATACAAAGCTGCATGGATGAATTTTACAGATTGACTTAACCTTACATGCTTTTGGGGTCACTCCTAAAGGTATGTGGCATTGTCATGTCCTAACCCCTAGGTTGGGGCGTGACAATTTTTGGTATCAAAGCAACATGGTTGAGATCTCTAGGGCTAGGGTTGGTTTTATGGCATAGTAACATGGTTTGTGAGAGTGGGGTAGGAATAGAAATGGGTCATACTGCATATGTTATAATTTAAATAATATTTGATTCTGGTCTAAAATTTATTTCTTAAAAACCAAATTAGATTGAATTCCTATAAACTAAAGTTCAAATTTACGAAAAGGCCCTCCATCTTTGTGAGGACAACTTTATGAAATGCGCAGAGGAGAGTCTCTCACTGTAATTGCGCTTAACATGGTAAAATTCAGATCTTCCTAAAAATAATCGGCTTTCTATCTTAGAAAGACTTAAACTGAGAAGTTCGTCGTCGGTGATCATTCCATCTACGTCACTGCACTGTTGTTCGAAGAAGAAGAATGGCCGGAGGAGTTAGGAAGGTATCAGCAGCATCGGCAAGGGCTCACACTAGGAGAGCTAGGCAACGCTCTTCCTTCAAGCTTCCTTCAGGTGGGTTCTTCTTGAATTGGCGTTTTGGTTTGACCCATTGTTGGTTATGTTTTCGTTTTACTTCTTTGTGATAGTATGCTATGAATCAGTATGTTGTCCTCAGTCCTCATCTTGGTGGGTTATTTCTGTTGCTGCTTTACATTCAAAGAAAACGTCCAAATTTGGGATCTGGGAATTGATTAAAGCTTGAATCTTCATTCACTTTTCTGAACTTTTGGGGATGAGGGTTGAGATTACCTAGCTAATCTTTATTTTCCTTTTAATGGGTTATTTGGGTAAAGTTCATTATGGTAGATTCAGTTGATATAAAAATGAAACTTTAAACTTTGTTATTTCTTTTGTCTTCCAAAGCATTTACTTATTTTCTTTCTTTCTTTCCAATAGTATGGACTTTATTTGAATTAGAGATTACAAGTTTCAGGGATCTTTGCAAAGATACTAGTGGTCTTGTTTGCGGGGATTGCGGCCTGGGCTTATCGAGTAATCCAACCTCCTCCACCCAAGATATGTGGCTCTCCAGATGGACCCCTGGTCACAGCACCAAGAATAAAGCTAAGGGATGGAAGATACTTAGCCTACAAAGAGCATGGTGTCCCAAGAGATGTAGCCAAGTATAAAATTGTCTATGTCCACGGCTTTGACTCTTGTAGGCATGATGCTGTTGTTGCCAATACCCTATCCCCGGTACTTTTTTGTTGGCAAATTTCTATTTAACATTTAATACGTTTTTGTGACATATGTGTTTTTTTAAGCTTTAGGTGTAATGTGTTAAAAATGGTTGACTGTTTTTGTTTCAGGAAATTGTTGAAGATTTAGGGATATACATTGTGTCTTTTGACAGACCAGGATATGGAGAGAGTGATCCTAATCCCAAACGAACAGTAAAAAGCATGGCTTTAGATATAGAGGAACTTGCTGATCAATTGGAACTGGGATCCAAATTCTATGTAATTGGCTTTTCTATGGGAGGGCAGGTGATTTGGAGCTGCCTCAAGTATATACCTCATAGGTATTGTATGGATGACTTATTTCATTGACTACAAAAGAAGGAGAATAAATCATTTTGTGTATTGCTTTGTGTCTATGCTCTGTACTTTTGACATATTGTCTAATTTGGGGATATTTGTAACTCCAACAGGTTGGCAGGAGCGACACTATTGGCTCCAGTTATTAACTATTGGTGGCCTGGTTTTCCTGCAAACTTATCTAAAGAAGCCTACTATGAGCAATTGCCACGGGACCAATGGACACTTCGTGTTGGACACTATGCCCCTTGGCTTACCTATTGGTGGAATACCCAAAAGTGGTTTCCAGCATCTAGTGTTATAGCTCACAGCACCGATGTTCTTTCTCACCATGACATAGAACTTTTGCCTAAGCTTTTAGTGAGAAGGGATTATATGGTAGGTACATACTGTACTTAATAGAGAATAATTATGATAATATTATTAAACCCAACAAGATGCTCATTTAAGGACCAAACCACTTCCCTCTTGTCCTCCCCCACAAAAAAATCTTTAAAAAGGAAAAAGGCCTAGCCACTCGCTTGATAGGATATTTTTCAGCTTTCATTGTATCTGTTTGCATGTTGATATATAGTGGTTGTACTAATCTGTGAGTGACAACTTGATTATAAAGTTGATAAAAAAATCTTATTACTATCTATGGTAACTATAAACTGGTCATCTCACTCTTTCTGTTGTGCATACACACAAAATAATTTGTTAATCCTATCTTATGATAATCTTGTGTTTCTATTGCTCTCTTTAATTCTTCTCAAATTCAGAGTGTGTTTTGAAGTACCCTAGCATAAAATCATCAGTACCATTTTTGTTTACTTTTTACTGAATCAACTTTTTCATTTCTTTGTGGAAATGTTGACTTGTTGCATATTATTGTAGAGACTTGTTCTGCAGAATTCCCAAGTAGAAGAGGAAAAACACCACTCAATGTGGGAAGGCATTGATTGTGATTATAAGCACAACATTTCTGAAAAATGTGCTTCTTAATTGGCATTCCTTGCTCTTAAGATCTATGATGTTTATGGTTTTGATTAGCTTCCTAACATACTATTGTTTTCTTGTCTATTACCAAAAGAGGTCTTCTCATGTTCCTGTTAGGCTTTTACTTTTCAGTACAGGGACTTAAGAATATCCAAGTTTCATTAACTATAAGTACGCCAACACCCCTTTTTTATCAATCACGTTCAATCAATTACCTTTCAGAGAAAACATTTGAAATTGACTAATCAAGATACATGCATTCTTCAGGTCTTGCTTGTTAGGTTTGTCAGGGTCACTTATGATACCTGAATTTCTCCTTGTCGGTGTGATATTTACCTGTTTTGACAGATAGTTAGGTTACATTTGTAGCTTCTTCTATGAGAAAAATTTAAGTTGATAATGCCTTTTTAAGCTACAAAAATTGGCTTCTTGTTAAAACCATGAGTTTACTATGTTGTATTATCTTGTTCTTGTAGAAGTCTTAGAATACTAGAGTAGACAATGTTGTCATTTCTATCTCTCAGTTGATTAGCAACATTGAAATTGAATACATGTTTTTTATTTTATTTTGTGTTATCACTAACTTGACCTTGTCTATTCCGTAACCCTCAGGCACAAGTGAGACAGCAAGGAGAATATGAATCCCTGCACCGTGACATCATAGTTGGATTTGGAAAATGGGAGTTTGATCCCATGGATCTGGAAAATCCATTTCCCAACAATGAGGGATCTGTGCACATTTGGCATGGGAATGAAGATGCAATGGTGCCCGTGGCACCTCAACGATATATTGCTCAACGACTCCCGTGGATTCATTACCATGAGCTACCTGGTGTGGGCCATATGTTTCCACATGCTGATGGGATTTGTGACAGTGTTATCAAAGCAGTTCTTATTGGAGACAAGTAGCCTGTCTTCATAGGTATAGTCCCCTTTTCCAGTTATCCCCAAACTAATTGCAATTAGACTTGATTCCAGCCATATTTTTGGGCTGCAACTTCTGACATTGTACACCCTTTTTGTTTTTTTCTTCCAGGGATGGAAAACTGAAACTTTGGGGAGCAAAAGGCAAAAGGAGGCTTGGATTTTGTTAGTGGTAACATTTGATCCTTACACAAATATTTGCAGACTTTGCGTTATGTTTAAATTAATGAAAGTTGAACAGCAGGCAGCAATAGTTTGTTTGCAGACAGGAAGAAAAAACATTATGAACTTGCTTTTTTTTTTTTTTTTGGACGGATGCTACTGAAACAAAGTGAAACTTGTGTGTTTGAACTTTGATATTGTTCATAGGGATGGCCCTGCCAAGTTTTAACTGCAGCTATAGTCCATTATGGTGTCTCCCTATCTCTGGGATTCGAGATATTGGGTCGAAATGTTTTATCTTGGTAAGAACAGTTGACCGAAAGTGGCAAAAAAATTTTTTCTGACACCAAGCAACCCCTTAATGGGGCCTAGACTGGAGCCGGCCTTGCTTATGGGGACTGGTCTTGGGCCCATGAAAAGGATACTCCGTATAACATTATATATATATTTTTAGAAGAGACTTTTCAAATGACATATATTTATTGAATAGATTTTCAATAAAAATTGGGAAAATAAAGGGCTGGATAATTTTAGATAATAAGATGAATGTGCATTACCAAAGCATTAGAAATTTAAAAGAAACAAATGAGGCCTTTGAATATTCATATTACATATATTTATTGAATAAATTATGAATAGAAATTGAAAAAATAAAGGGCCCGATAATTTTAGATAATAAGATGAATGTGCATTACCAAAGCATTAGAAATTTAAAAAAAAAAAAACAAATGAGGCCTTTGAATATTCATATTAAAATAAATCAATAGTTTTATTGAAAAGTTGCTAACGCTAGAAGTAAAATTAAAATGGAAAACTAATTATGCACAATAATAATGGCTAAAAATGGAGTAGAAAAATAATATTACTCATCTAAGAAAATGGAACACAATCAGTCCTTAAAAATACTAATCTCAAAAAATTTTCAATGAGAAAATGTAATTGGTACCTAAAAAAAGGAAAGAATGGGAAATTGCAAAAAATTCAATACAACTTTATTCAAATCCCATGTTTTCATATACCAATCAAAAGATAATTTTAACATGAAATTGATTTCCATATACTAAATCATCAAAACTTGACTGAAAATTAAAAATAATAATTTTAAACTTGAAATTATTTTTCATATACTAAATGATCAAAATTTGACTGGAAATTAAAGAATATGCATCAATCCATTAGAAAGGAAAGAAAGTGCGAAGATGGAAATTAAATTAAAAAAGATATGAATTAGTAAAAAAAAAATTCATATCTTCAGCACTAAACATTCAAGTTATTACAATCGAATTCAAGTATATATCAATTTGTAATTAAAAAGAAGTAGATCAAAAGAAAGAAGCAAAAAAATACTTCATTTCATGAAGATCAACCCCTGCTAATCTACAATGAAGAGATTTTTTTTTTTTGGTAAGCATCTACAATTAAGGGTGAGTTCTGTTGGCCCAGAAGGCAACCGAAGAGCGGGGTGAATTGGGTTTCAAAAACCTTAGGCAATTTTCAGAATAAATCAATGATCAAGCACAAACAATGAATAAGCTATTGTAAATGAAATTGCAATAATTAAAAGAGTAGAGTAAAAAATATCAAACGCTTCAATTTATCTTGCTTCGTCACCCTCTTTGGTGCTTATGTTCAGTCCCCAAGTTTCCTACGCTCGAGATTTAATCCATAAACAGTAGTTTCAGCAGGTACTAGTGAAACCAATTATAATAGTTTGCTGATGTTATCAACCATTTAAATCTCTTGTTACAAATCTCTCAATCTATCCTGTATCTCAAGGATGGATTCTTAGATTTAATAAGGTTTCTCTAATCCCTCTCTCACTTGTTACAATGAAAGAAAGCTCTATTCTTTGTGCTTCTCCATTCTTCTAGATCTGGTATTATATCTTGAGATGCTCAATTAGTACGTGTTTTTGACCATTGGAGCCTTTTTTGGGATTAATATATTTCAAATATGGTAGGTAAATCAATGACCTAGCACAAGGGGTTGAACCTGCTTTCAAGGGTTGAAACTTGATTGATTTCCTGCACAATCTTGCAAAAAAACATATTTATAAAAATAAAATATTTTAAATCAAAATTGTATAATATTTTAGTAAGGTAGGTTAGAAAATTTGTGGGAATTGATCTTTACTATTTAAATGAAAATTAAAAAAAAAAAACCAAAAAAATATTGATAAATGATCTTATTTAATGATCACGTGTTTTTGGTTGTAATCTGTGAACCATCATTGAATAGAAGTTGCTCGGGAATCATTTTCAGGTTGTCCAGTTTGAGCATTGACCCACTACCGCTTGAGATGGGAGGCAAAATAGCCGCAGGAGTCAACCGGGAAATATCAGCGACAGCTCACATTAGGACGGCCAAGCACCGCGATAGGTCTTCTTCCAAGCTTACTTCAGGTTGACTGATCTTTTGTATGCTTTATTTGTTATTAATCACTCACATTAATTAGAATATGCCAGAAAGACTTTAATTAGGGAGAAATTTTTTGCCTCCCAAATAGGTTCTCTTCCCATAAATTGTCTATGGTGCAAAAATTGACTAAAATGCTAGTTTTATATTTTGTTGGTTCTACTATTTTATTATTGATGTTTGTAAATTCTAGATTTTGTTCCAAACTTTTCCATGAATTGCTTAGTTTTTCTTTCTAATTTTATGAGACTTTTTTTTTTAATAAGGTGCTTTAAAGTATAAAAATATAAATTTTTTTAATTAATTTATATAAAAATTATAATTATTGACTTTGTTTTTAATCAATGGATCAATTAAAATTAATTGCATAAAATTAATATTAAAAAAGATTAATTTTTATGTATTTTTATGTAAATTAATTATTTTCTCTATTTATTTTTAATATATCTAATTTGACATTTAAAATTTTTATATATGAATTTTATATAAAAATTTAACATATTATATA